ATCACCAATGAAGTCTTGTGAGGAGTGACGATGTACATTGCGATGAAGTGCTTTTGTAAAGTAACGATGTATTTTGTGGAGCAATAAAACATCATACGGAGCAGCGCGATGCCCCAAATATGGTGTAATAATGCTTCATAAAGTGGAATGACTCATTTTGAATACAATGAATGAGACATCCTAAATCGATTGTAACAATTACTATCATTACGACCTTCCACTCTGGTCGTAGTGGCCAACCGACCCTCTATGCTACGGCCTTTGAGGCCAATAGATGATATTGCAGCTCATTGTTAAGGCCTGTATGTGGCTCATAGCTCATTACAACTCCCAATTTTGACCTTTGTGACCTATATATGTTGTTGCAGCCGACCTCAATGGCTTACAGATGTTATCGACGTTCACCGCTACAGCCTCATGACCAACTATGACACACGTGACTCACAACTCATACACCACCCAACTCCAGCCTCTGTTAACTACAAATTTGGTCTCCGCTCACCTTTATGACCTACGTGACCAACTTCGACTTATATGACTCACAGCTAATGCAGCTCCTAATTATGACCTCTGTGTCCATAGATGTTATTACAACTCGCCACTGAAGTATGTGTGACCAACAACGATCTACGTGACTCACAGCTAATGCAGCTACCAACTTCGATCTATGTGGTCTATGGATGTTATCACAGCTCACCACTTGGGCATATGTAAATAATTTATGTATCCCACATCTCATGTAGCTCCCAACTCCTCACAACTTATGCAACTTTCAACTCTGATCTCCGTGGCTTACGAAAGTTATTAGAGCTCCCAACTATAGTCGTTTTGTCTTATAAAAATTATTGCAACTCCACATTACGACCTATGTGATATATTACAACCTACAATGATCGTAGCTCATATGAATCCTAACTTCAACATATGTAGCCTATGGCATTGTTGTAGCTCACCACCACGACTTATGGGGCCAACTACACCCTATGTGGCTCATAACTCATGCAGCTCCTTTCTCCGGTTTTTATGGCATACAAACATTATTGTAGCTCCCAAATTTGGCATCTATGATCAACGTACATCATCACATCTCACCACTATGACATATGTGACTAACAATGACTTACATTGCTCATAATTTATACACTTCATAACTTTAACCTTTGTGACCTACGAATATTATTGCAACTCATCATTATAGCTTATGTGACTCACAGCTCATGTAACTCCTAACTCTTTCCTTAATGGCCTATGAACATTATTAGAGATTCCAACTCCAACCTTTGTGGCATATGGATGTTATAACATCTCACCATTATAGCCTATGTGACCAAATATGACTTACGTGGCTCACGACCCTTGCAAGAAAATAAAGGACAATTGATATACCATCAACAAATTCGCAACATTTGACACAAATCTTGTGGCAAGCCACATCTCGAGATAATCTTTTGAGTGAGAAACATTGAAACTTTGATTAAAAATCATTCAAAACTCCGATTTTAGCAAACATATAATCAAACTAACTGACTCGACAAAATGTACATAAAAGTACCAATATTGGTCCAAGCAAAAATAAATCGAGCCTTGTCAGGCCATTAAATCACATTTGAAAGCTTTTTGAACATATTTGGAAGGTCAAACAGATGTCGAATCTAATAAGTTTATAGACCAATCGAGCGTTTCGGCGAGACAAATCCAACGAACTCAAGATCGCTCAATTCCATTATCGACAAGGTACTTAAATGTCCATCAAACACTATTTGATTGAGGGAATCTTTCTGACTCGTCCAATCAAAATAGTTTATGGTACTTCATTAGTTACAAATAAGACTCTATAAATAAAGCATTACCCCTCTCATAAGAGAAAGAGCAATGGAAGCTTGAAGCCTGGATAAAGTTAAAGCTTGCAGAAGTAGTTGAATTTGTCCATTACTTCTACAGCAACCGACCATCACAAACCACAATTGACCACCACTAGTCAGTCGTCGTCCACTTCTTGTGATGAAGCACCATGCGAAGGAATATCTGACATCGTAGAGTTAGAAAGCAACCTGCGAAGTTATGCATCATTATGAATATCAGGCTAACCCAAAGACGGGGCAATAATGCTCCCCGAAGACTAGGTAACAACTCACTTTTCATACACTCATTTAACTTTTGACTCCGGCCCTTATGCCCTACGGACGTCATGACTACTCACTACTATAAACTATGTAACCAACTACAGTTTACATGGTCAACAACTCGTGCATCTCTTGACTCTGGTGCTCGTTGCATATGAACGACATTACAACTCACTACTACAATCTACGTACGTGACCAACTTTGACCTATGTGGTCCATAGCTAATGTAGCTCCCGAATCTGACCCTCACAGTTTACAAATGTTATTATTACTCAATACAGTGACCAGTCTGATAAACTACGACCTACATGGTTCACAGCTCGTGCAAATCCCAACTCCGACCCTTGCGGCATAAGGACGTCATTACTACTCACCATTACGGCCTACGTGATCAATTATAATCTATGAGGTCCACGATTCCTACATCAACTGACTCTGGCCCATACAACATACGGATGTCATCGCGACTTACCACTATGGCCTATACTTCCTACGTGGCCTACAACTCTTGCAACTCTCTACTACGGCTTCTATAGCCACCTGACGCTTTTGAAGTAACCATCTATGGTTCACTTGACCAACTACGGTCATATTTTATCAACCACGACTTCAATGACATGCTGACATTACAACCACCATCTACTGCACATGATGAATTATTATCTCTGCTACAATCTATTATGACCCTCGCAATATATTGTCGTCAAGAACTACAACCAGATTATAGATATACAACCTTGTGATTTTATCTTATCTAATTCAGGAGAAGAGTGAATCTATATACTCACCATTCACTGTAGATTATTTCAATATGACTAGACCCCATGATTTTTATCTTCTTTCAAAAAATTTTCACATAAAATATCGAATTGTCTACTCATATTTAATTTTTTAAATTATCTGAATATGTAATGATTTGTCATGCAATACTAAAATATTAATTAAATACTTCCACCCCCAATGAATCTTACAACACATATTAATTTTTATAATATAAAATAATTAAGTGGCAAATCCAAAATTTAGGGATTAGACATATAAAAACATTTAAAGTTAAGCGGCATCGATGCAATCGCCCGTTGATAAATGATAAGCGCGTGTCCTACCCCATCTTTTAGTCGAGGTAAAAATGACTTAATACGTCACTTTCTAATTCACCCAATTGACGTTTGCACCCAAAACGGCACCCACCGCTCGGCAACGCGTTGTCAGCTTCACAAGCAATTCGAACATCCTTCTCTTCCGGTTCCCAAAAAAAAAAAAAGTAGGGTAAATAACTTACCTTTTTCCTTTAGCCTTTTTCACCTGCCTCCCCTCATTCCTATCCACCGCCTCGTATCATTTAAAAAGGAAATTGCATATATAACCCCCAAAAAGCTATTATTACAAAAATAGTCTATTCGAGTGATACCTTTAAACTACTGAACTATCATCAGTTCTGATATTTGAGTTAGAATTTGAAAAATAGAGGAGAGAGTGTTATATTTGTAAATAGCAAATATTCCCTTATTTTAAATATTTAATATCATAATTTTAATATAAGTTTAATTCAATTAGAATATCTTAGTAAAAAAAAAAATTATAAATTTTATGACTAAGCTAAGCTAATTTCGGGCGTGATGTGCACATAAAATATAATTTTATTAATTATTTGTATACTATAATTTAAATGTCACTTACTGTTTTATTGGCATGACCAAGTGGGAGAAAATAATTTAAAATATAATATATAAATAATTCTTATTTTGGGATAATTTTATGATTTTCTTATTTAAAAAGTTAATTAACACAAGAATAATATTTATTTGAATGATGATAAGTTTAAATTATTTTAAGATTTTTTTTTAAAATATATTTTAAATTGTGGCAGTAAAAAAAAACCTCTAAATTTTAAAATAAAGGAGACATAATCGCCCCAAATGAAAAAGATAGATAATTACTTAATAGATATATTAACAGAGAAGAGCTCTTTGCATGTATGTAATAGATGTTTGGTCTAGTAGGCACCAAATATCGATTCTCCCAAATGGTTGAAAACCATGATGTGCTTGTTTCTGATTCGAAGAGCACGGAATTCGAACCCCCAACTCAAGGGATTTACGTCAGAGGCCACACCAATGAGTCAGGTCATTTGCATTTGCAAGTATGTATATAAGTCCCCAATTTTTTATGATATCAAATTTGGTATGTTTGTAAAAAGTGAAAATATAGCAGACCATAGAAATTCAAGTTTATGTGGTAGATATGTAAGTGCATAAGAATTGAGTGGTTCTTATGTAAATTTTTCTAAAACGGTTTAATTTACTTTAAATTAGCGTGATCAAAACTAAGGTAAGGTAATTGGCAGCAGAACATCCCAGAAGACCAGCAACCGCTGCTTCTCTTCTTTATTATCTCTCGGCAGGAAGAACGGTTTATTCTCTGTCATGCAATAAAAACCTTACCGGAAAAACGTGACTTTCTACCTCCTTCCCTGCTTCCCTCCTTCCCTCCTGCTCCGGTGACCGGAGAATTGAGAGCTGTCATTCATAGAAGAATCTACCTAATACACTTGCATCACAGTTCTAAAAACTCCAGCCTTGTTAGCAAAACTCCATTTTTCTTCTGTCTTATGACAATTCACTTTGAAGCTCACCTTTCTGGTCAAAATACATGCTTTTGTTAAGGTTTTGATTTCTTGTTCATGGATCTTGAGGGCGGGACTCACATGAACAGCTTTAAGGTGATTGAACTTGATTTTACCTTTTTTTCCTTTAGCTTCTAAGCAATTGGTTTCGAATTATGTGTGTTGTTGGGCTGCAGAGAGAATCATGGCGGACGGTTCTCACGCTCGCGTACCAGAGCCTCGGCGTGGTTTATGGCGACCTGAGCACTTCGCCTCTTTACGTCTACAAGAGCACCTTCGCGGAAGATATTAAGCATTCTGAGACCAACGAAGAGATCTATGGTGTTCTCTCCTTCGTTTTTTGGACTCTGACTCTCATTCCTCTGCTTAAATACGTCTTCATAGTCCTCCGAGCTAACGACAATGGCGAAGGAGGGACCTTTGCTCTCTACTCTCTTCTCTGCCGACACGCACGTGTTGGGTTTATTCCGAATGGGCAGCTCGCAGACGAGGAGTTGTCGGCCTACAAAAAGACTGACAGTTTGAGCCGCAGCGGAGAAGGTTCGATTGTTGGAGAGGCCGGTTATGGCGGCCGTTCGGAGATGGCTCCGGCGAAAGTGAAGAGATTGCTGGAGCAGCACCAGGTTCTTCAGCGACTTCTGCTGATTCTTGCTCTGATTGGGACTTGCATGGTTATTGGTGATGGTGTGCTTACTCCTGCACTATCTGGTAGATTGAATTTCTGTTTTACCGTTCTGTTTTTTTTTTTTTTTTTTTTTGCTAATTTTAGTCTGTTTGATTTTATTGAATTGTGCTCTTAATCATGTTTCTGTTTGTCAGTATTCTCTGCCGTCTCTGGGCTGGAACTTTCCATGGCTAAGGAGCATCATAAATGTAAGCGGCAACAAACTTGTTGACTTTAGCTGTATTTAGTGGAATATGGATCATTGAGCAAATAATATATTTCAGGCTCTGCTGCGCCGACATGAATTTATGAGATTAGAAAGTGAATTATGTGTTGCTTAGTTTCGTCGG